TGGGAAGAGTAGGTCAGTTTGTTCAGTTGCGTCCTGGCCACAATTATTGTCTCTTGTTCAACTTCCTCTTTTACAATTGCACACAATTCCACATTTGCAACGGAATTTCGATTGGAAACTCTAACCGCACCGTTCGACATTTTTTCTGGGAGCTCCCCTCCCTCTCTGTAAAATAACAACTAAACAAGAAATCCAAATCCTTTACACCAAATGTATATCAAATTATCATTCTACTCAATCTCAAATGTTCTAATCATTGTATCTCTGCATATTTGATATTAGAGTCTATGTTTCAAACTAACTATGTGTTATGCTTGATCAATTAATTTAAGTTTCAAATATAACAGGTGTACATCATCAGGTTGCAAAGATAAAGCTGGACTAGACATTTTTTTATTTTTCTCAATAACTCAATTCCACAGTTTAAGTTTGAAATATCAAAGCTTTAAAACACGAGGTTGCAAAAATATTGGGATTAGAAATCCTAGGATTGAGTCTAATGTTCATTTTCTTGATAAAAAGTTGGAGATTTTATCATTTTGTGGAACTTAAAATAGATTACGTTTTCCTCTTTTCCTGCAGCTTAAGCTTATTTCTCCAATTTTTAGAAAAAAGAAAATATATTTTATTTTCTTGGTTCAATTCACCCCAGGTACAGGGTTACCCACAAAAAATGAGACTTCAGAGACGACTCTGCGGATTTTATTTTTATGTTTTTTTTTCCAAAACATTTAATTTGCCGATCACTGACTTAATTTTAGTTAGCTGACGAAATATATCGCTTTATTGAAAGAGCATCAGGTTGTCATTTAAATCTTATCCATTGTGGTTATCCTGTATTATGTTCAGAGGATTATGTTCAGAGGAATAGTAAAATCACAGATTAAGCAGATTAAACTAGATAAAACAAACAGCAATATTTTAAAACTAAAACTACTGTCTCATCTGTTAAATCTGAGATTGTGATAATATTTCCCAGATAGGGAAAAGAAAAAGTAATCAGAAATAATTTTCGTTAGAGTCAAACTCTATATAAATAAGACTTATAGAAACGGTAACCGTCCAAAAAGTTCTTTGTATAAAAGTTTCCGGAAAAAAGTCCTAATATTTTGCCTAAAAAGTTCTGTGGAAAAAAGTCCTTTTTATAAATAGTCTCCTGAAATAAAGTCCTGCCAATTCGAGACTTATTTTCTAGGACTTTTTTCTGGATCCAGTATGATTTTATACAAAAACATCCTGGGATAAAAAGTCCTATTTTAGTAGAAAATATAGGAAAAAAGTCCCAGGAATCCAAAACACAGGACTTTATTTCCAGTGATATTTTTTCCAATGACTTAAGAAAATTCGGACTTTTTTCCCAAGTTTTTTTCCAGATTTTTTTCCGGAAACTTTTTTTCCCGGGAATTTTTTTACTTAGATTAATATCAACATATTAGGAAGCCTTGAAAAAGTCTCCTTGAAGGCAGACTTAGTCTGGCTGGGTTAGTTCTCTAAGTGGTCTTAAGTTCTTTAGGAGATCTTTACTTCTCTAGGAGTTCTTTAGTTCTCTATAAGTACGTCCCTAGAGATGAATATAAGTTTTATAAACTAATCCCTTCTCTAGATTCTAGTCAAATACTAACTTTATTATCTGGCTCTCTCTTCTCCTCCATCTTTCATTTATTTTTACAAAGGAATTGAGTCGTTGCCACAAACTCCGATTTTCTCATTCCTTTATCTTTGCAACCTAATGTCGCAGACCTTAGATATTTCATACTATGAATTATGTTAAATCGTATAATTTAAGTTTGAAATATCAAAGGTTTACACCCACAAGTTGCTGAGATATAGGGATTAGAAAATTTATGTTTGTGGCAAATACTCAATTCCTTTTTTGGGAGGAAAAATGTAAAACCTCCATGCAAAGATGGCAGTACCAAATTTACAACGGTACCCTTGAAAGCTTTATTTGATTAAGCATTAATTAGATATTAATGTTATTGTTTCGTTAAACAGTTTTATTTTCAATTGCAGCTTTCAAGGGTACCGTTGTAAATCGGACATTGTCATCTTTAAATGGAGGGTCATTTGAAACTACGCTTACAGTTCATATATGTCTGATATCCTGAAGTAGGTTCTCCAACTTTTACTTTAATTTAAAGATTATAACAATCAAGAATTTGTTAAGATAAATATTTTCAATTACAACACTGCTACAACAAAAAGTTCATGTGGAAAACAACAGTGTTTCAGGATTAACGTATAAAAGAAATTATCTTCATTTTTCACCTTGTTTATTTCACTGCCTCATTTTAATCTAGTTTCTAAACCCCTCCGCGCCCTTCCCTCCCCCTCCCCCTCCTGCCTCCTTCCTCCGTCCCCCTCTCACTTTTCCACCTCTAATCCTTCATCTATCCAAAGTTTTTCCTTCAGAAGTTCTCCTGCTTTCTGGAAACTTTTTAATTAGGCAATTAGTTTCTCTTTTTGTAAAGAACCATCGTTATTTTCTATTTTTGTGTGTGCAAAGTAACTTCTATAACGAAGAAGGGAAAAATATATAAAAACACAGGAAATTTTTATCATGGAGTATAGAAGAACATGGAGTATGAATCTTCATGTTTTACCGACGGTTCCTCATTAAAAAAATGTTTTTCAGTTTCGTCCCTTGGACTTTCCTTAGCCGTACAAACGCTGCTTAAGAGAACTAACTGGGAACTCGGCTTTGTCTGGAGATCTTAATAATATTTAAATCCAAGCTAAGAACATTCCCGTGGTACAAACGAGTTCCCTAAGTTCCCCATGTTACTCATTGTTGCTCCCGCCGTTTACCCTCGCCTTGGTCTTAAATTACGATTTTTGCTATTTTTCCCTGTAAAAGTCGACTTATTCCCTTGATTTCCTCTAGTTCCCCAGTCAAAATTTGAGGCTAATCGGTTCAGGGTCTTTGAGTTATGATCGGACACAGAAAAACACAGACATTAATATTTTAATTGTATAGAAAATTAGCCCGCCTTCCCCTTAACACCTTCCCTTTGGCTCTTAAGTTAAAAACAGTAACGTTGTGAGATCATCAAATCAGCTCTTGAAATATAGGAAATATACAATATATAGGGTGTCTCGGACAATATTTGAAGTTTCTTAGACAATATTTAGGATGTTTCAGACAGTATACAGAGTTTCTTATACAATATACAGGGTATTTCAGACAATATACAGAGTTTCTTAGACAATATACACTATACTCAGAGCGTTTACAGAGTGTCTCAGATGACATATAGACTGTCTTAGACAATATATAAAAGGTGTCTTAGACACGTAATAGGTTATCTCAGACAATGAACAGGGTGTTTCAGACAGCATACAGGGTGTTTAAGACAGCATACAGGGTCTCTCAAACAACATACAAGTTTTTATCCGATAATCAGGGTGTCTCAGACACTATGGCTTCGTATGTTAAATTTGAATGTAGAAAACCGTATATTAATAATTCCATAAAAATTATTTGAATTCGAATTTTCTAACTGTTGGACACTGGTCAGGCGGAGTTCAGAAAACATCTCTTATTTGGATTCATTGAAGGAATTTGGTATTTGGATATAGTTTATCAGGGAGATAGACCAGGACAGGTAGGTATCCAGTATACCTGGATATACTAGGTCAGGTAGGTATCCAGTATACCTGGATATACTAGGTCAGGTAGGTATCCAGTATACCTGGGTATACTAGGTCAGGTAGGTATCCAGTATACCTGGATATACTAGGTCAGGTAGGTATCCAGTATACCTGGATATACTAGGTCAGGTAGGTATCCAGTATACCTGGATAGACTAGGTCAGGTAGGTATCCAGTATACCTGGATATAGTAGGTCAGATAGGTATCCAGTATACCTGGATATACTAGGTCAGGTAGGTATCCAGTATACCTGGATATACTAGGTCAGGTAGGTATCCAGTATACCTGGATATACTAGGTCAGGTAGGTATCCAGTAAACCTAAATATATCAGAAGTAAAAATTCTGTGTTGTAAATCTCTGGATCAAGCATTGATCGCCATCTCATGAAGATCTACGGATTAATATCATTTCTCTTCGAATCCCGTGACGTTCATACCCTGCAGGGATAAATTTCATTAGAGGACTCAAGAATTTATACACAAAGTTAAAAGAATTCACTTTGGACTTCAAGATCAAGACAGATTAACGGAATTGAGTCTTTGCCACAAAGTCTGATTTTTAATCCCTATATCTTCACAGCCCAATGTCCTAAAGCTTAGACATTTTGAACTATGATTTCTGTTAAATATAATAATCTAAGTTTGAAATATCAACGGTTTAACCATCAGTTTACACAGATATTGGGATTAGAAGGTCAGAGTTTGTTGCAAAGACTCAATTCCTTTGCAAAAATCCTAAGAGATTGTATAAGGCTGTGGTTTGTGATGACGAGGAGAGTATGGAGGAGGGAGAGCAGTATCAGGTTGAGACCTGGATGCAGTTAAATCTAATAGATTTTATTTAAAGGCTGTGGTTTGTGATGACGAGGAGAGTATGTAGGATGGAGAGCAGGATCAGGTGGAGACTAGGATACGGTTAAACCTAAGGATTGTATTTCAAGGCTGTGGTTTGTAAAGAACAGGAGTGCATGGAGGATAGAGAGCAGGATCAGGAGGAGACCTGGATACGGTTAAATCTAATAGATTTTATTTAAAGGCTGTGGTTTATAAAGACGAGGAGAGTATGGAGGATGAAGAGCACAGTCAGGTGGAGACCTGGATACGGTTAAATCTAATAGATTTTATTTAAAGGCTGTGGTTTGTGATGACGAGGAGAGTATGGAGGGTGAGGAGCAGGATCAGGTGGAGACCAGGATACGGTTAAACAGTGAGGAGGAGTGGGAGGCCAAGGAGCTAAAGGAGAAGGAGAAACTTCTCTTCCAGGTTCAGGAGACAGAGAACCAGGAGAACTACAGGTACAACCAGGAGAACAACAGGTACAACCAGAAGAACTACAGGTACAACCAGGAGAACAACAAGTACAAACAGGAGAACTACAGGTACAACCAGGAGAACTACAGGTACAACCAGGAGAACAACAGGTACAACCAGACGAACTACAGGTACAACCAGAAGTACTACAGGTACAACCAGAAGAACTACAGGTACAACCAGAAGAACTACAGGTACAACCAGAAGAACTACAGGTACAACCAGCAGAACAACTGGTACAACCAGGAGAACTACAGGTACAACCAGAAGAACTACAGGTACGACCAGGAGGACGGATTGCAACTTTCTGAATTTGTATGGACGCTACGGTCTTCATATAAGTCGTTTTTAGTTTTTACCAATTTTCTTCTTATAGACGCAACAGATAGAGGTAAGATTATTAGCGATGAAAAGCGATTATTTTTCGCCGTAAGCCTATTCCCCCTTTCATTTTTTGCGAACCCCCCCTTTAAGCGTTGTCTGATAAAGTGATAATTAGATATCCATGTTTAAATTTTTTAACAATTTCAATAGTGGTTTCTCTACAAAAGTGATTTCGCATTTCTACTGCAAGAAAACATATGGGAATTATGAAAACTAAATATTTAAAAACTTTAAGTTATCTTTTAGATTTTTGATCAGATAACACCTGAAAAGTTACCTGAAATTACACTTACAGTTTCTTTAATGATGTGTGCGGGGGGGGGGGAATATTTTCAAATCTTTATTCATGAAGGTTTATATATTATAGACTAGGAAACTAATTTTATTTATTTAATGCATAGTTCTGGTTTCTTTAGACTTTACATATCCCCGGGAGGACAAGAATTTAGAAATAATGTTTTCTTTTCTTTTAAGAATTTCATTTTATTTCTATTTTCCAGGCAGTTCTACTTTACTTTTCAACAATCTATTCATGGGAAAGTATAGTACCGTGTGACAGTCAGTGTCTTAAATTAGATTTATTATTCAAAAACAATTCCAAGAAAATAGTTTTTAAGATCTAAATGATTATTTTGTAAATTCATAGCAAAATCATTTTTGGTTTATAAATATGTTTAAACTAAATATGCATGTTAATAACGACATTTTACATTTTTATATATTTTCACTGTCTATTAAGCAAAGATTAGTTCTCGAATGTGCGTGTACGAAATCACATCCTTTCGTGCTGGAATCTGTTGAGGGAGAAACAGGCATAGGAATCCTCCACTTTTGCTCTTGTTCTTTTTAAGCAAAGTTTACGCTTGTCAAAACTACAATATTCAAACATGCTGTAGATTCTGGAGGAGGGTGCTAGGTTAAATTCAGTGGTAGATTTGTTGAATCCATGAAAGATGGGTTTAGACGTTGGTGAGGGTTCCGATCGATCAGAGATTCACATCATAGGAGGGTAACGTTTCTATTTAAGAAGCATCACATAGTATAGTATATGAATAAAAATCAATAAAGCAATGCACTGAGTTTCTCAAATATTCAACGAGTCGGTTTTTCTTACAATATATTTATATACAAAAGATACAAACTCTAAATCGAACGATACCAATACAAACTAAATATTATGAATCTAATCAGTTCTATCAAACAGGAGACATTTTACATTTTCATCTTCATCGTCTCACTTATACAAATTAAATATTGTTAATCAAATCATTTTCATCTAGTAGGGGAATTCTTCAAGGGAACCTTAATTCAAGGGAGCTGAATCACAACTGTCTGTCCCCCTTCGATTTCGCTCCATCCTAGGATCGCATTTAACCCTAGCTACCACGGGGTTGTTCCGCCCCCTCCCCAACGCTTGGGTCTTCAAGATAACGGAAAATTCGGCGTCGCTTGGGTTATTTATAGAATCCAAATGCAAACTCAAATAAATCCGTTAGGA